ATTACCGCTGCGCTTTGCGGATTCATCTCTGTCCAGAGAATCGTATCCGGAGATCTGGAAGGCAAGTTCGCGTTCTACACACAGAGATCAAAACCAGCTTTCACATCTACAACACCTCTTAAGGCTGTCTGAGGAAAAGGCGATTTGAACGACTACCTGCGGCAGTTGGCGAATGCTTTTTCTCGCCGTCTTTGCCCGTATCTGGGCTGAAGGCGATCGCACCTAATTTTACGGGCATATGACAGCTTGTTTTTGGTCATCTTTAAATCGGTAAAAGTCGTGTTTATATACCGTTTCTCCTTGGTGTAGCGATGCTTTTTCAGGCGGTCGGTACTTTTGCAGCGCTCTGTTGTCATAAAACTGCCAAAGATTATCAATGAAAAATCACATAAACTCGGCACTAGAGACTGGAAGAAATTTTATTTTTTTAATCAGCTGGAATGATCAATACACCCATGAAACCGGTAACCATTGAGGACAAGCTGGCAATTTTTCAGCAATGTTTTCCAGTTGGGCGATCGTCTCATCGATGTCGTTATTTACAAGGACGTAGTCAAACAAGTGTCCGAAGGCTTGCCGTAATATTTCGGATTCCCGCAAAAGCCTTTCCAGACTCCCATCGGGCTAAAAAAATTGTAGTTACATATTGCAGCGATGAATTTATTGGCCAAAAAAATACTTACATCTTGAAGACCTTGGAGATTCGGCGCGGCTATGAAGACCACAAAAGGTGAGTACTCAGCCGTCCTTAGAACCTGAATCACGTACATCCAAGGTAACTCAGTGAAATTAACTATCAAACGTGTTTTGCAATACAAATTCACATGACGATTGAGAAAACAACCTTCAGCGCTTGCGGTTCGACGTCCAGAATAGCCACTTTACCACTTTTATGAATATTCCTTATGGTATCAAGCTTTGTCCCATACATACCTGGAAGATAAAAGGCGTCATCACCTGCCAATGAATTACGTCACTAGATGCGTATTTTATGGTTGACCGTAAGGATTTTCCAAGAAGAACGTAAAGAAAAGACGAGACTAAGTATTTGCTCGCGGTCTTCACGGTATTCGAACTCAGCGGTATCATCCATTCCACTGTATTAGCGCCACCTTTACGATTGAAACTCAAATCCATTTGTTTTTACTGATTCATTGCAATTTCTATAACACTTGCCGTAAGGCAGCTGTAAGTCGAAGGGTGCAACATTTGCAATAAGCGATATTAACAAAGCGGCAGAAGCTCACATCCCATTCATTAAAGGCAAAGTTCGGGCTCAGACCCACTTAATAAGCCCTTATAGTGGCTAGAAGTGCTGGGACGCAACTGCAGAAGGCGCGCCACGTTCCTGCATCGAAACGCGTCATTAAGACGCTAGACGCTAAGGACTTTGACACGCTCCACCTGTTGCGACACGCTCCGCCCACCGCTCGATATCTTGTCTGCGTCGCTGACTTGATCTGCTATGCTCTCTCTACTCGTACTTCTCTAGCGCTCTCCGCGCTCACATATCTCTCATCCTCCCTGCCGGCTTTTTGACTTCTCACGCATCCTCGATGTGTATTTTACGAATGTTTTTCCTTTTTCTCCATTGGCAGTCCACTTTCCACCCCTACTTCACATTTGAGTAGAATTTCCCCATCAATTTAATCCTGAATCTTGCCTTTAAGCGAGTGACAGAATACATTCCGCTAGAATTCGTCAAGAAAACGCAAGAAGGGACCCACTTTTTGGCTCTTGATATTTGCTCAAGGGCGAGCAGCGGCTAAACGGTGGACTAGTGAACGAGTTTACCGCAACGCGTTTGGTGGCACCATGCCAAACCATGCTCCAGTCGAGTTGCTCCAGTTGTGCCGCTGCTGGCAACACAGCTCGTCCAAATCACCAACTAAACTAGTGGGCGGATCGCTTTTGGGGCGGAGTGCTTTCGAAGTCCTGCTCAGCAACCAGCGCACCTTTCGTCGTGAAAGCGCCACACCTCGCTTCCTTGGCAGCCAAGTAACTGCTTCGTGTGGTGCTTCCCCGATGCGCTCCTTCTTTATCGTAATCGCTTCCTCTAACAACCACTAGGCCACAATCGGTAAATGAAGGATAAAGTGCGGCGAGGCACGCTTGAAGTAGGTGTCAGACTTTGCGTTTACTGTCGCGACGACTAAGTACCAATTTTCCATGCTCACGAGAGTGCTCTCTCACCCACTTGTGATTTCTGCTACTTTTCCACGCTCTCAAATCGCAATTTCCATTCCATCTACAATGCTGATCAATAAGAAAAAGTGCACGTGCGACAGCGTTTTTTGTGGTTGCACTTTGCCTTACTAATGAGGTGCCTTCCACAGAAACAATGACCAAAAAGTACTTTTTTCGCGCTCCTTAAATATTTACGCAATATCAATCGTTGGCAGAAAGTAAATATGCTTTTCAATCTGCCTTCACTAACAGTCAATATTAAAGATTTCATATATTTTTATACTGACTTTCCTCGTGTGTACCGTATTCCAAATATTCGTTGTTCTGGATATCGGCTAGCATCTGGTCGTTTGAAACAAAAAAGTAGTGTTTGCCAGCAACTT